ATATATATATATATATATATATATATATATATATATATATATATATATATATAAAACATATAACAGTAAAATAATTTAAAACAACTTAAATGTGTAGTATTTTAACATTTATTTAAAAATATTTGACATCTATGTTTATTATATATAAAAAGTAGCCATCATACATTTTAAAGCTTGAAAAGCTCTTGCAGAAAACAAGAAAAAGTTAATTATTTTCAAAATTATTTTATTTATTATATAGATTTATTATTTTTAATTGTTTAATATTTATAACTTTTTTCTGTAGAATATACTAATGTAAACAGTTAAACACTAATATTGTTATAATATACACTGCTGTTCAAAAGTTTGAGATCAGTAAGACTGTTTATCTATAGTTTTTTTTTTTAAATATGCTAAAATATTGTCTCTTCACACTGTGCAAAATAAAACTCAAAAACTCTACTAAACAAAACAGAATTAAAAAAAAAAGTAACCCAGAGACGAGCAGCTGTCCGTCAAATGAGAACGCACAGCAGAGGACAGGAGCAGACTGAGCAGAGAGAGTGTAGAGCAGCGACATCTCATAACCGGTGCAGAGACACACACACACTGAAGCACTGTGGGAAAACATACCTCTTCATGCTGAAGCAAATTCAGTGCTATTTAGTGACTCTAAGTTCTGTTCTAAAACCTAGTGAGGTGCCTAACTAGACAGCATTTTATGATATCATAGGAGCAGTGCAAAGGATGTTTTAAAAAGCTGTGCTTTTCTTCAAGGCAGCATGTTCCTTCTTGCAAAAGGTAATTCCATAATGCATTGTGACAAAATAGACCCAATGTGCAAAAAGTGAAGTGGGGAAACATATATACAAATATACACTTCTAATGCAATTCAAAATTTTATATATATATATATATATATATGATCCTTCAGAAATCATTCTAATAGGCTGATTTATTATTAGAATTATCAATGTTGGAAACAGTTGTGCTGCCAAATATTCTTTTGGAAACTGCGATACTTTTTTCAGGATTCTTTGATGAATAAAAAGTTAAAAAGAACAGCATTTATTCAAAATAGCAAAGATTTATATTGTTAGAAAATATTTCTATCACTTCTTATCAATTTAACACATCCTTGCTGAATAAAAGTTTTAATTTCTTTAAAAAAAAAAGAAAGAATAAAAATGTACTGACCCCAAACTTTTGAACAGTTGTATATATTGTTAGAAAAGATTTCTATTTTAAATAAATGCTCTTCTTTTTAACTTTTTATTCATCAAAGAATCCTGAAAAAAAGTATCACAGGTTCCAAAAAAATATTAAGAGTTTCCAGCACTGATAATAAATCAGCATATTATACTGATTTCTGAAGATCATGTGACACTGAAGACTGCAGTAATGATGCTGAAAATTCAGCTGCGCATCACAGGAATAAAGTACATTTTAATGTATATTAAAATAGAAAAACGTTATTTTACATCACAATAATATTTCACAATATTACATTTTTCCTGTATTTTTGATCAAATAAATGCAGCCTTGATGAGCATAAAAGACTTCTTTAAAAACATTAAAAATCGTTCGTTAAATCGTTAAAAATAAATATATAGATAGATAGATATATAAATAGATAGATATTTTCAGTTCTGGCACCTAATTTAGCTTTATTGTTAATAATTGTTATTTTTTATTTTATGTTTTTAATTTTAATTTTAGTGTATTATTGTCATTTTTAGACATTTTTGTTTACATTAAATATATTTATATACTGTAGTTGTCATTCATCTTTATTTGTTTTAGTTTTAATTTTATATAGTTTTTTCAACACTGAGACCACAGATGCAATATACGTTGCCAAGGACACATGGACTTGGTTAAACCTTTTACTTAAGTTCAGCATTCACTTTAGATCAACTCAATTAAATCAATCACTCAGACAGGCAATATAAAGAACTCTAAAACACAAGCCAGCTGGAATCACTGATAACGTCAGTCAGAAAATGAAACATCATGCCTATTCTGCCCACACACACACACACACACACACACACACACACAGACAGAGACACACACACACAGACCAATTTCCTGCGAGACAGTGAGTCTCAATATCCCAGCAACCCCTGTGATTGACTGCTGCTTATCTGCACGTGTGCGTAAAACAAAAGTGTGCGTGAAGATTCCCAGCAAGCAGTGGACCATCGCCACAGCGACAGACAGACAAAGCCCACTCTGACGCCTGCTGCTGAGGATTATGGATTAAATAGCGGGTGTTCAACAAAACTATTACAGCTAAAACTATCAATCATAAACATTCACTCACAGAACTACTCTCATGGCTTCTACTATACATTCACACCTAAATCAGATTTGGTCCAAATCCAGAGTCGAAACCATGTCTTGAACACATCTTGTGTTTTTAATTTTAAATGTATTTTCATTCATTCATTAGCAAATAATACATGTGGATAGATAGATAGATAGATAGATAGATAGATAGATAGATAGATAGATAGATAGATAGATAGATAGATAGATAGATAGATAGATAGATAGATAGATAGATAGATAGATAGATAGATAGTTAAGTTAAAAAGATAAGTTAAAAGATAGCCTATGTTGTTCAATTCAAAACAGCAATTTGACAGAAAAAAAGTGGAGAACTTTGCTCAACAGTATGGATATTACTGTGGGTCATATAACCTTTCTATTATGAAAGTTGTCAAATCTGAACAAAGTGATGTTTGTAAACCGACTGGTGTCAAAACTGTTCAAACGCTTAGTTTAGACAGACAGTACGATCTTTGGCATATTCCATTCACATGCATGAAGTCATATGCAGTCTGAACAGTAAAATGCCACAGAATTTGGAAACGATTCAGTCTGAACTGTGACTTTGATTACTTTTTTGCCCCTTTACACAATGACAGGTACT